TTTTTTTCAAAATAAACCTTTTTTCAAGATGTGTCATTGTTGTGAACGATATCACTGGTTGGGAATATGCTGGGGAATGAACCTGTAACACTGGTGTCAAAAGCCCACCTGTGACTTGGCATATGCTCTTGGGCCATTGTTACTCTTTGGCTGCGGAGCGAGTGGTCATGTGACCGCAGCCACCCAATCAGTGTTGCTTATATGCGTGAACCTGGAAGCGGCGCATACGCGAGGGGAAGCCGTGTTTGTTTGCTGCAGAGGTGTGTTTCATGCATTTTTCTCGTGACTATTACCTGTATGACTTTGGAAATTAAATGCCACTTGCTTGTTTCACTGTAGAGCCGATCACCAGCGCCGGATCATTGTCCGATTGAGCCTTGCGTGTTTTAGAAAGTGGAGTTGGTAAGTCAATGCATTTAGTGCTTGCCGCTCCTCATTCAATTGCCTCCGTGTATCCATGACGTAAATTAATGAATCATGATGAGCAATGCTTATGTTTAATAACCGAATGTTTGTTTGAATTATTATATATGCACATGGCGTTTTTTAGTCAGCATTATAATAATATGGTCTGCTTAAATACATAGCATAAATAGCATAGCAGTTTCACTAAAGTTACTCACTTTGGGAATAGCTATGTACTTTTAAGTGTTGGTATTGTGCTTCTCTGTGTTTTATAAACATGTTGAATTGTATATGCTGCTAATATTTTCTACTCTAGCACTATACTCTAGTATTTTGATACATTGATATGACTAGTCTTTATGAATTATATTGTGCAATATTGATACTTTATTTAGAGAGATATCTCAGGTCTTTATAATACAGTAAGTGTTATTTATTTAGAATGAACAAGATTGTGTACACATGAATTGATTTAGATGGTACTGCTGTTTTTACACAGGCCACATTCGAATGATGGCGAGCTAAGGAACAGGCTTTTAGCCTAGAGATACGACTCACCGGGAGATTCCTTCGAGGACCCCACCTACTGCTCTGTCCGGGCTGGTAGGAGGCTCTCGCAGCCACCCCTCACACTCGATTGCACTACTCGCACTTTATTCTACGGCCTTCAACCAAATCGTATTCATTCCCTTCCATCCACATCCTTCCTCTGGATTATCTTCAAAACTTTTGGGCCGTATAAACTTTGCCACATGACTGTGCTTCGAATCATGATCTGCAGAGGGAGTGGGATTTGGTTCGTCGATTCGCTCAGGACCAAGATGCAGACGATGCTACAGAAGTTCCGCAGGATATTATTGCTGCTATCTGCCTCAGCTCGCTGGTCAGAACTTCTCCACCAGAACCAACTAGTTCTTCAATCACTCTAGTTGAGTCCATGAGTGTGACAGCAGCTGCAGTGCCTGAATGTTTTGCTGATGAATCCAAACAAGGTCTACCAGTCATTCCATCTCTGTCGAAACAACAGTTGAAGGACAAACAGCGCTCAGACCCCTGTCTTCGTGAAATCATTTACCAGCTTGAAACCGGCGAGGGTGTGCCTCCCACAGCAAGACAAGCGCTTCCGGAGTTGTCTTTGCTCCTTCGGGAATTGAATCGTCTTCAGCTTGTTGATGACATCTTGTATAGGAGGAGACAGGATGGGGACGAAGAACTACTACAACTTGTCTTACCTGAAGAGTTACGGTGCATGGTGTTGAGCAGTCTCCACAATGATATGGGGCATTTGGGTGTAGAGCGCACATTAGACCTGGTGCGTTCTAGATTCTTTTGGCCACGTATGTCTACTGATGTTGAGACAAAGATTCGAACGTGTGATCGTTGCGTCAGAAGAAAGTCTTTGCCCGAGCGAGCCGCACCCTTGGTTAACATCACCACTACTCGACCGCTTGAATTGGTATGCATGGACTTTTTGTCTTTAGAGCCAGACCAAAGCAACACTAAGGACATACTTGTTTTAACAGACCATTTCACAAAGTTCGCCGTGGCCTTGCCAACGCCCAATCAGAAGGCTCATACAGTTGCACGTTACTTGTGGGAAAACTTTATAGTTTATTATGGAATCCCAGAACGGCTGCATACTGATCAAGGCCCTGATTTTGAGAGTAAGCTCATAAAGGAACTTTGTGACGTTGCAGGCATTGTGAAAACCAGGACTACTCCGTACCACCCGCGAGGGAATCCGGTTGAACGGTTCAACCGTACTCTGTTAAGTATGCTCGGGACCTTGGACCCCAAGCAGAAGAAGCGGTGGAAGGAGTACGTCAAGCCACTGTGTCATGCATACAATTGCACAAAGAGTGATGTGACCGGGTTCACACCATACGAGTTAATGTTTGGTCGCACACCACGTCTTCCAGTCGACCTTGCGTTTGGACTTCCGGTCCGAGGGAATCAATCTAAGTCGCATTCACAGTATGTTGAGCACTTACGTTCCAGACTGGAGCATAGTTTCCAGCTCGCAACAAAGAATGCTGAGAAATCTGCAGAGCGGAATAAGACCAGATTTGATCAACGCATAATTCCATCGAGTCTGAATGTTGGCAGTCGTGTTCTCGTTCGGAACGTGAGGCTGCGTGGGAAACATAAACTGGAAGATAAGTGGGAGCGTGACGTTTATGTTGTTCTCAGTCGGGCCGGTGACCTCCCAGTATACACAGTGAGGTTGGAAAAGGAAAGTAACGGTCCAACTCGAACACTCCATCGGGACCTTCTACTTCCTTGCGAGTTTCTTTCAAGTGATGAACAAACTGAACTGGATAGTACACCTCCCCGAAGGCCAGTGACTCGCAGTCGGCAACAAGCTGCTCCACAAACTGAGGACTTCGAGGAGGAAGATGATTGTGAGTTACCGTTCCTCGTAGACCACTTGACCAAGACCTTTACTGTGGATGAAACTGTTCTAACACAACCTACAGTTTCAACTCCAGTTGATCATGTGCATTTAACATCTAGCAACACCCCAAGGCGTATACTTACCGTACCAGTGGAACCAAACTTACCTGATCCTGGGGAATCCGCTACTGCTGTTGTTATGCCGCCGCCTCCATCTGTGGAAAAAGATAATGAATACTTACCTGATCGCCAATCCTCATCTGATGTGCCCGATCCTGAACTTACCGTTCCTCAGTGTAACTCACCTCCTGATGCTTCAAATCTTGCTGCTACAGGAGTCGCTATACCTGGGGAAGAAGCCAAGCCAGTAAACTGCTTACTAGATATTGACAAATCTCTACTTACCAGTGGGGTTGAAGATGCCGAACCTGACGAAGAACCTGAAAAAGAGCCACAACCTCATGCCCAAGTAGAGATGCCCCAGACGTTGTTTGAATCGTCAAGCCAAGGTGAAGAACCTGTTGACATCGATCATGCCGATATCCGACGATCCACTAGACAGCGACAGCCGCCTAGGCGCTTTGGTTATTCCGGTTTAGGCAATCCATTAGTCTCCGTCGTCCAGACACTTTTTCATAGTCTGGCCGATGCTTATGGTGAAGCACTTAGCACCACCCCTGCAGCAATGGCTAGTTTAGAGTTACCCATTCACATTGTCTAACATGCACACGGAGGTGCATGATTCTAAGAGGGGAGGGTGTAACACTGGTGTCAAAAGCCACCTGTTTGACTTGGCATATGCTCTTGGGCCATTGTTACTCTTTGGCTGCGGAGCGAGTGGTCATGTGACCGCAGCCACCCAATCAGTGTTGCTATATGCGTGAACCTGGAAGCGGCGCATACGCGAGGGGAAGCTGTGTTTGTTTGCTGCAGAGGTGTGTTTCATGCATTTTTCTCGTGACTATTACCTGTATGACTTTGGAAATTAAATGCCACTTGCTTGTTTCACTGTAGAGCCGATCACCAGCGCCGGATCGTTGTCCGATTGAGCCTTGCGTGTTTTAGAAAGTGGAGTCGGTAAGTCAATGCATTTAGTGATTGCCGCTCCTCATTCAATTGCCTCCGTGTATCCATGACGTAAATTAATGAATCATGATGATCAATGCTTATGTTTAATAACCGAATGTTTGTTTGAATTATTATATATGCACATGGCGTTTTTTAGTCAGCATTATAATAATATGGTCTGCTTAAATACATAGCATAAATAGCATAGCAGTTTCACTAAAGTTACTCACTTTGGGAATAGCTATGTACTTTTAAGTGTTGGTATTGTGCTTCTGTGTGTTTTATAAACATGTTGAATTGTATATGCTGCTAATATTTTCTACTCTAGCACTATACTCTAGTATTTTGATACATTGATATGACTAGTCTTTATGAATTATATTGTGCAATATTGATACTTTATTTAGAGAGATATCTCAGGTCTTTATAATACAGTAAGTGTTATTTATTTAGAATGAACAAGATTGTGTACACATGAATTGATTTAGATGGTACTGCTGTTTTTACACAGGCCACATTTGAATGATGGCGAGCTAAGGAACAGGCTTTTAGCCTAGAGAAACGACTCACCGGGAGATTCCTTCGAGGACCCCACCTACTGCTCTGTCCGGGCTGGTAGGAGGCTCTCGCAGCCACCCCTCACACTCGATTGCACTACTCGCACTTTATTCTACGGCCTTCAACCAATCGTATTCATTCCCTTCCATCCACATCCTTCCTCTGGATTATCTTCAAAACTTTTGGGCCGTATAAACTTTGCCACTACATCTGTGCGAACGAACTGAGCCGTGCTCTCACAATCAAAGGGCCGTGTCCCTATATGAACTGAACTATTTATTCATTCAATCTGTGCGGTTGAATTGTCTTGAACTACTGTTAAATATTGACTTCTATCGTTACACTGTATATAACACCTGGGATTTATTATTGTATATTTGCACTGAATGGCCATTCATTTTAACACTTGTTTACATGTTTTGTCTGTCTTGTCCATACACATTAATGTAAATACAAACCAGCTATCTAAACGCAAATATCCAGTCTCTGCCTCTCTCTCTGCGAGTCGCACCCAGTCTTCTGAGATCTAGCCTAACAACTACCTTAAATGTATGTATAGTACAGTACAATACCTGCTACAACAGTGTCTTGCTCTGACTCTGGGGGGCGCTGTTTCCACCTGGGCCGATGGGGAAATGGATTTGAGTGTAGCTTGGATCGTCCTCTTCCTGGAGAAAAACAAACACAAGTAAAGTGTGTTATCTGTACTTCATTGAAGAAGAATACCTTTCTGACCCTTTAGACCCTTCTGACCTTTTAGACCCTTTAGACCCTTTAGACTCTTTAGACCCTTCAGACCCTTTAGACTCTTTAGACCCTTCAGACCCTTTAGACCCTTTAGACAACATGTGTCAAAGTCAAGGCCCGCGGTCCGAATTTTACATTGACGCACTATTACGTCAATTGCGTTTTCTGCTATTTTCATGTTCCCAGATGTCTATTATATCTAATATGTTTGGGGATAAGCTTGAGAGCATATTGAATCGAGCCAGCAGGTGGCAGCAGCGCTCTCTGAATGGTTTGACAACAGCTAGAAAAAAATAGGCACTTGTGCCTATTTTTTCTCAGCTTTTTGGTGATTTCAGTAAAACGTCCATCTACAAAATTATTTTTGCTGATGAAAGTAGACAGTCTATTCTTTCAGAATCTGGTTTTGGATTTCAGATAGTCATAGTACACAATATTCTGTGGGTCTTGAAAAATCTATAAAAATCATCAGAAACTGCTGACAATATGGGAGTACCTTTTCTGAAATAGCCTGGCAGGCAATGAGTTAATAAACATTGAACCAGTCCGGCCCTCGGCTCGCAGTAAATTTGTTTTTTTGGCCCTCTGATGTATTTGACTTTGACACCCCTCACTGTAAACCCTGACAAGTAAAGTTTACTTGAAAAAACCATGGAAATAAATTGCGTATTAACTTCACTTGAATTCCTCGAGTACATCCTTCACTTGATATTACCAAGTAACTCAAGTGATTGCAATAAAGTTTAAATTTCTACTTATGTTCCGACCGGGATTCATACTCAGAACCCTGTAGTTGAAAGGTAATGGTGTTACCCACTCAGCCACCAGGCCACCCTAACATTAACACACCTGCCTCATTAAAGAGTCTACGCGTCAAAATGTCAAAAGTGAGGCTTACTTGAACAGAAACAGTTCAATTCAAAGAAAACCCTGAGTGACTTAAATAAACTAACAATAAATTAGTAATATTTACTTACTGGGAAAAATCTATTTAAAATAACTTTGATATCTGAAGTACAATTGAATTTAGGGTTTACAGTGAGCTGCTTTAGACCCTTCTGACCTTTTAGACCTCTCTGGTCTCTCTCTGATCTTTCTCTCTTTCATTCAGCCGCACACTGCTTTTCAGCAAGAAGTTTCTGGATTTGAATCCCGGTCGGAACAGGGCCTTTCTGAGTGGAGTTTGTTCTGCCTGTGTCTGCGTAGGTTTCCTCCAGGTGCTCCTACCACTAAAAACATGCACAATAGGTACCACTACTCCAGACAGACGCCCTAGTGGCATAAGCAGGAGGTCAAATGCAGAGGACAAAGTTTCAATCCATTCATTTTCTTCCCATTAATCCATTTCTATATGGGAAGTGGTAGTCCATGACTCTGACCAGCCTCTGCTGGTATAATGTCTCTGACCAGCCTCTGCTGGTATAATATCCATGACCAGCCTCTGCTGGTATAATGTCCATGACTCTGACCAGCCTCTGCTGGTATAATATCCATGACCAGCCTCTGCTGGTATAATGTCCCTGACCAGCCTCTGCTGGTATAATGTCCCTGACCAGCCTCTGCTGGTATAATGTCCCTGACCAGCCTCTGCTGGTATAATGTCCCTGACCAGCCTCTGCTGGTATAATGTCTCTGACCAGCCTCTGCTGGTATAATGTCCCTGACCAGCCTCTGCTGGTATAATGTCCCTGACCAGCCTCTGCTGGTATAATGTCACTGACCAGCCTCTGCTGTACTAGATCAACCAGAAACATCACCTTGGCTCTGCCCCTGTACCTGCACCGCTCCTGTGCTCTCCCAAGAAAGCGCCACAGGAAACGGGGAAAGAGAGGTGGCACTGCCGTAAGAGTAAGAGCCTACCTTCGCTCCCAGAGCGGCCGTGTTCCTCCAGTAAAGTTCGGCAATGTCCACCAGGATGTCTGCCCTTTCCCGGACCGTGCCGACCCTTTCATCCCGACAATACCGTGGATGGATACGTAACAGAGGAGTACTATATCCACCGGCTTCCCAGACCCACAGAGCGCCGCGCCGTTCCAGCTAACCTGCGCTCGTTAGCTCGGGCCCAGCCTTGTGAGGATAATCCAACTCTTCAGCTGGCCCTGTTCAATGTTAGATCCCTGGCGAACAAGACTTTTGTATTGAATGACTTCTTCACAAACCGGGATTTGGACTTTATGCTTCTGACTGAAACCTGGCTTCGACCTGGTGAGTGTATCGCTTTCTCAGAACTTCTCCCTCCAGCATGCTCCTTCTTTAGCTCCCCTCGCACAACAGGGAAAGGCGGAGGATTAGCTACTGTTTTTAAAAACAATCTGAACTGTCGGAAGCTCCCCTGTGCGCAATTTGAAAGTTTTGAATTGCAGCTCTTTGAGCTAAGACTGAATGCACTGATTCTGTGCGCACTAATATATCGCCCGCCTAATGATTTTATAAAGGAATTTTCAAGCCTTGTGGCGGACATCGCTCTGAAATGGGACTATTTTATACTCGCTGTTCATGTTTGTTGCGAATCAAAACCTCTAGTCAAGGAATTTCGGAACATTCTCGACTCTTTTAGCTTGACTCAGTCTATAAATGTTCCGACCCACAATCAGGGGCACATTTTAGACCTGGTATTGTCTCACGGGCTAAATGTGAATATCAGAGACATATGTGACTTGGGGATCTCTGATCATATGCCTGTGTTGTTTTCAATTTCGATGTACTGCCCAAAAGCAAGTTTCCGGTGTTAGCGGCGTATTTTCTCTACTACGGCTCCTCTTTTTTCCGCAGCTTTTAATGCCTCGCCTCTGAGCGCTTCCTTAACCAACTTGGGAATTAATTACATGGTTAGCCTCCTTGATTCCACTTGCACCGAGATTCTTGACTCTATTTTGCCTTTTACGCACATGCACTCAAAGCCTGGAGAGCCGTGGCAAAATGCCACAACGCGTGCTCTTCGCTGTGAATGTCGCCGCGTGGAGAGAAAATGGAAAAAAGACCGACTTCATGTGTCCCTGGGAATTTTAAAAGACTCTCTTAAAAACTACCAACAAGCTGTAAAATCAGCAAAGACCGACTACATGTCCAACCTTGTTACCAAAAACTGTAACAACCCCAAAGTTCTCTTTAATGTGTTAAACAGTATTGTAAACCCAGTTCAACACACTGGTGTTTCCCCATCTGTTTCTTTGTGCGACCAATTCTGTACATTTTTCAAAGAGAAAGTGTCTTCTTTGCGCTCTTCAACCTCATGTGCTGTAGTGGATCCCATTCTTGTCTCTCCTTGTTCAGCTGTTTTTGCAGACTTAGAGCCCATCTCTCTGTCTGAATTACTACAGACTGTTCAAACACTTAAAGTGTCTAACTGTCCTTTAGATACCCTGCCTGCGAGAATGTTTAAAGATGTTTTAGATTCTGTCCTTGTATTTTAAACCTGATCAATCAGTCACTTGAAGAGGGCTGTGTCCCAGCTGCCTTTAAACAGGCCATTGTGCAGCCTTTCTGTCTTGTGCAATTTTAGGCCTATTTCTAAATTGCCTTTTCTATCCAAGGTTTTAGAAAAGGTAGTTCTTAACCAGCTCCAGTCGCATCTTAAATGAAATGGTATTTTTTTTTAAATTTCAATCTGGGTTTAAGTCCTTGCACAGCACAGAAACTGCACTGTTGAAATTTTTTTATGATCTTCTTTTAATCTCTGACTCCGGAAGCCCCTCGGTGTTAGTGCTTCTAGATCTGACAGCAGCATTCGACACTGTTGATCATAACATTCTTATCTCCCGCCTTGAGTCCTGTGCTGGAATTAAAGGCACAGCACTCAAGTGGTTCCACTCGTACCTGTCCGATCGGGTGTTTTTCTGTAAATCTCGGCTCTTGCAGCTCAAAGAAAGCCTCCCTTGACAGTGGTGTACCACAGGGTTCCGTTTTAGGACCAGTTTTATTTTCACTGTACATGTTGCCCTTAGGCTCAATATTCTAAAAGCATAACATTTCATTTCACTGCTTTGCTGATGATGTTCAAATCTATTTGCCTTTGAATGTTAATTCCGATTCCGTCCAAGCACTGCAGAAATGTCTTGACGATGTAAAAGACTGGATGTCAATACATTTTTTAAACCTGAATGTAAATTGTACTGTTTGGTGAACCTGATCCGTCTGTCCGGCGGCACGGTGGCTGAGTGGATAGCACTCTCGCCTCTCAGCTAGAAGGTCCTGGGTTTGAATCCCGGTTGGACCAGGGCCTTTCTGAGTGGAGTTTGCATGTTTTCCCCGTGTCTGTGTAGGTTTCCTCCGGGTACTCCGGTTTCCCCTACCACTAAAAATATGTACAATAGGTCTGGCATGCGCCTCCTGTTCGGCGACCCCGCTCCCATCTCTGTCTGGAGTGAGAGGACAAGTGCCCCAAAAAATAATAACAATTGTAAACCGCTTTGTGACCCTTGTCTGTGAAAGGCGGTATATAAATAAACATTACTTACTTACTTACAAAGTTAAAGGCTATCTCCCACCAAATGACCTTGAGAAGGTTGTCCACGCCCTCATATCCAAACGGCTGGACTATTGTAACTCTTTATACTATGGCCTTGACCAGTCCTCAGTCCACAGACTGCAGCTGGTACAGAATGCAGCTGATACAGAATGCAGCTGGTACAGACTGCAGCTGGTACAGACTGCAGCTGGTACAGAATGCAGCTGGTACAGACTGCAGCTGGTACAGACTGCAGCTGGTACAGAATGCAGCTGGTACAGAATGCAGCTGGTACAGACTGCAGCTGGTACAGAGGCTGACTGGCACCAGACGACACGAGCACATCACTCCTGTGCTGTCGTCTCTACATTGGCTTCCTGTCGCTTTTAGAATTAAGTTTAAAATGTTATTGTTAGTATTTAAATCTCTGAGTGACCTGGCTCCGTCTTATCTGACTGACTTGCTTACTTTGCACACTCCGGGAAGAGCACTGAGGTCCTCTGACCAGCTTCTTCTGCTCTGTCCCAGGTCTAGATTAAAGACCAGAGGAGACCGAGCCTTTGCTGTGGCAGGGCCCAAACTCTGGAAGGCTCTCCCTTATTCCATCAGAGCTGCCTCCTCTGTAGAGAGCTAACCCTCTGTAGAGAGCTAACCCTCTGTGGAGAGCTAACCCTCTGTAGAGAGCTAACCCTCTGTGGAGGGTTTTAAATCGCAGCTAAAGACACATTTCTTTGCTTTGGCTTTTTTAACACAAGCAATGTTGAAACATTTATGATAGTGTCCTGCATTTTATTTTTATGCTGTATGTTATTTATGTGTTGTATTTTTACAATGTCTGGTGAGCACTTTGTGACAGTCCTGTCTGTTTTTAAAATGTGCTATATAAATAAAGTGGACCTTGACCTTGACCTGATATTCTGCTCGAAGCTCTATCTAAAAAAGCTGAACTGGTGAAGACAGAATGTGTACTTTCTTCCCCTAAACAGCGGCTGCTCAAACGCTCAACGTGTACTTCCCTTTTTCTGTTTAAAAACCACAACGTTTTTTACTCTTACTATGAGTCATAATGTGTGTGTGTGTGTGTGTGTGTGTGTGTGTGTGTGTGTGTGTGTGTGTGTGTGTGTGTGTGTGTGTGTGTGTGTGTGTGTGTGTGTGTGTGTGTGTGTACAGTAAATATGTATTTTGTTAGGTCCTTTGTTTTGTAGTAATGGTTTTCCTATTGAGATTTCATGTCGTTTGCCTCAGTCCTGGGTCTACAGCCTCAGTCCTGGGTCTACAGCCTCAGTCCTGGATCTACAGCCTCAGTCCTGGGTCTACAGCCTCAGTCCTGGATCATCTACAGCCTTGAATTGAAATGCAGTGGACAACACTGGAGAGTTTGAAAAGCATCCAAAACCAGACACACACAGACAGCTACAGTCACTGCATGTATTCTCTGCTGGTTTCTTACTTGCTGCTGGTTTCTGACTTGCTGCTGGTTTCTTACTTCTTCTGTCAGTTTGCTGAACGAGGCTGAGGCGTAAACCGTCGACACCTCCACAGGACGAGAGACAACGCCGGGGCCGATCTCCTCGTAGGATCTGTGAGAAGCCTGGAACAGACAGAACGGCTCGATGGTTCAACGACTGTGCAACTGGTCTCTTTGCGATCTTTTTGTCTCAACACATCCATTGGAGGGAAGTTACATGGCTTATTTTTAACCCAAAAAGGTTCTGGAATCTCAGTGGGCTTTCCTAATTAAAATGAGGTCAAGAAATCTAATTGAGCCCAGGAATTTTAGTTACAGAGACAAAAAAGATTAAAGCCGCAAGCGGCATCTAACGGCCCTCGCCGCACCGCGCAAAGGAGGTGGCGCTGACGCGCCATTTTTTTGCCCCCCTGATGGGAGCGACACTGTGCATTTTGAATTACTATGATCAGTGATTGTGTGTCTCTATTGAAAAGGTAAACCCCAGTCTCTCCATGTAACACTTGTATCACTCTGTAGGGGGCGCTAATGCTGCATTTCCATGATTTACACGTTCAGTTTACTCAAACCCAAGAGTTGGACTATCAAATCAAATTTTGTGCAAATCGGACCTTTTATGTGCAAATGGTGGCATTTAATGTTGTACAACAGCGCCCCCTACAATTTAATTTTTTTAGTGTTATACCAAAGAAAACCAAAATAATAGACTTTATGCCTGAAAAAAACTTGTGGCAAAGTTTGGTGAGTTTTTGTGTTTGTTATGTGGGTCAAATATGAGATCAAACAACATAAAACCTAAATACCTGTATCCCCATGTAAACCTTTACTCAGGCTGTAGGGGGCGCTAATGGGCCAATGTCATTGTTCACACAGTCATGTGACCTAGGCCCAGGAGTTGAACAACCGAGTCAAGTTTAGTGCAAATCAGAGTTTGTAAATGTGCTCCTGTTTGTTCATACAATCTGTGAGTGTGTCCATACAGTCTAACATGGAGATAACATGGGAACTTCACACCTCTCTATGAAAATGACCACACTTTGGGGGTCTGTCACGCGCAGACCGTTTGACTAATTAAAACTCTATATGCAACTATTGATGGTCCATGTGTTGAGACAATGTGGAGCGATTTTCAGACAAATTAGGGAAACGGCCGTGGCTGGTTTGATGTTTGAGCGAGGTGTACTTTTCAGAGATTTAACGATTTTCTCATAGACACAGACAGGGGAGTGTTGGTCGTCGCCACGGCAACAGGGTAAAAAATAATCATATGTTGTCATTGACTTTTTGAATCCAGATGACAAAACAGAATTATGCGCAAAATTTCAAACATTTTGACAAAACTAAATTTTAAAAAGCCCATGTAAAACTTTATCATAGTCTGTAGGGGGCGCTAATGAGCCAATTTCAATATTTCCACTTTCAGATGACCTAGACCCTGGAGCTGAACAATGGATTAAAATTTGGTGCAAATCCGGCTTTGTTTGTGCAAACGGGAGCAAATTTACTTTTGTCAAAAATCCCCAAAAAAAAGTCACATTTTGCCGCTCCGCTGCTCGGACAACGTTTAACTGATCCAAATTCTATATTCAATAATAGATGGGACATGGGTTTAGACCATGTTGAGCGATTTTGAGACAAATCGGTGAAGCGGCCGAGGAGGAGATAATTTCCAGCCGACATGTGTGAAAAAGATCAATTTTCATTTTTCCATTTTCCAATTAAATTAATGAGCTTCCTGTTTGTCAGGGGGTGGAGCCATAATAACTTTTTTTTCATGTCTTGACCTGAGGAACATGTGTACCAAATTTCGTGGCTCTACGACAAAGTTGACCTTCGACCCCCTCCCATAGGCGCAATGTAAACTGACTTTTGTAGGGGGCGCTGTTCTGGTATTTTTTTAGTCCCATAAAAATAATCACCAAAAAAATAAATTTTTCACCGGTTCTGAATTTTGGGCAAAATTTCACAACTTTTCATCAATGTTCAGGGGGTCAAATTAAGGCTCAAAGCGCAGAAGAAAAAAGAAAGAAAGAAAGAAATAAACCAAGGAATTTTTTTTGGGAAACTTTGAGCAAAAACAATATAGGTTTCCATAGTAACCTATAATACAAATGATACGTCGTTTTAAAGCGAACGACGAGGCGAACGCAACTATTGGGTTCTCTCCATCATGAGGTCACCCACCCCCCCCATAGGACCCCATTCATTACACTGTGTTCTACAGCAGGAGCAAAGCCATTCAGTGCCTCCGGCACTGTTTTGTCAGTGTCTGGGCACGCGCCGTCGGGCTTGGGGGACGAATGTCCGGGCTTTGCCCGGACATTCGTCCATAAGACAGTTGAAGGAACCCCCCTTTAATAGGACTTCAATCATTTCACTGTGTACTAGAGCAGGAACAAAGCCATTCCGTGCCTCCGGCACGGATTTATCAGTGTCTGGGCACGTGCCGTCGCGTGCAGGTCACAATCTCCGGGCTGCGCCCGGAGATTGTGACTTATGACAGTTCAACGAGTAATGCCTGGGCTTCGCCCAGGCATTACTCGTTGGAAAAGCAATAGGCCCTTACCCCGGTTGGGGCTCGGGCCTAAATATAAACAGGAGCACATTACTCCAGTGTTTAAGTCACTCCCTGTTTGATTCTGCTTTGATTTCAAAGTTGCTTTATTGGTATTAAATGTCTTCATGGTCCTACAGTATCTCTCGTACATGTCAGAGTTTCTGCCTGGGTGTGGAACCCAGTAATAGCTTTGTGAATGGAGGAAGTAGCAATGGCTAATTCTTTGAAATAAGTAACATGCATTTCTAGAACCAGGAAGTCCTCTCACATTAGTCCTGTTCTCAGGTCTCTGCTTCCTCTGGCTTTAAATACTTTAAATCAGATCCGTTTGTTACAAGTCTCTCCATGGCCTCGTACCAAAGTACATCCAAGATATGATAGAGCACAGGGACTGGACTCCTGCTGGGACTCTGAGGAGCACAGGGACTGGCCTCCTGCTGGGACTCTGAGGAGCACAGGGACTGGCCTCCTGTTGGGACTCTGAGGAGCACAAGGACTGGCCTCCTGCTGGGACTCTGAGGAGCACAGGGACTGGCCTCCTGTTGGGACTCTGAGGAGCACAGGGACTGGCCTCCTGCTGGGACTCTGAGGAGCACAGGGACTGGCCTCCTGCTGGGACTCTGAGGAGCACAGGGACTGGCCTCCTGCTGGGACTCTGAGGAGCACAGGGACTGGCCTCCTGCTGTGACTCTGAGGAGCACAGGGACTGGCCTCCTGCTGGGACTCTGAGGAGCACAGGGACTGGCCTCCTGCTGGGACTCTGAGGAGCACAGGGACTGGCCTCCTGCTGGGACTCTGAGGAGCACAGGGACTGGCCTCCTGCTGTGACTCTGAGGAGCACAGGGACTGGCCTCCTGCTGTGACTCTGAGGAGCACAGGGACTGGCCTCCTGCTGGGACTCTGAGGAGCACAGGGACTGGCCTCCTGCTGGGACTCTGAGGAGCACAGGGACTGGACTCCTGCTGGGACTCTGAGGAGCACAGGGACTGGACTCCTGCTGGGACTCTGAGGAGCACAGGGACTGGCCTCCTGCTGGGACTCTGAGGAGCACAGGGACTGGACTCCTGTTGGGACTCTGAGGAGCACAGGGACTGGCCTCCTGCTGAGTTAGGACTAAACAGAGGGAGGCAGTTTTTCAGATGTACGCAGCTAAAATCTGGAACAGTTTTCCCGAAAATGTGAGACAGGCTTCCTCTCTGACAATGTTCAAATCCAGGTTTCTATCTTGTTTTGTTTGTTCGCTTCACCCAACCCCCTTTTCAAAACTTGTGACATGTTTTTCATTTGATAACTGATATTTGTATCTTGTGTTGTGTAGGTTTTGAAATAGATAAATGAATAACTTTTAGTTTCCTTGTGTATGAATGTTGCTAAACCTCCTTTGTGACTTCCTGTTACTCCCAATGACAGTAAAAAAGGTTCTCATTTGCTCAAAATAAAAGAGAGACATTGGCAGAGCCCTGATCCCACCTCGTAATCGTCTCTGTCGTCGACACTCACAGGAAGTTCTGCAGAAAAGCAAATGTTAGTGACACATTTTCTGACATCCTCTTCCCTCACGCTGCTTCAACACTGACCTTTTGACATGTGGCCTTTGATCTTTCTACAGAATATCAACAGAACAGCCGCTAACAGGAGGACGAGGGCCGCCAGAGTCACACCCGCAAACAGCAGCGTGGATCCTGTCAGAGACACTTCATGAATCTGTTTTACACTGTGCTTTTCTGGACACTCAAAGAAGCTTCACATGTCGTTCATTCACTTATTCTTTCAGTGAGCCACAGCTGCCCTGGGAGGCACAAAGCGAGGCAGGCAGTCTGTGCCATCGGCCCCTCCCACCACCACCAACAATTCACACACACCAGAATTATTCTGATGTGGGGGAAGCGTCATGCCTAAAGACACAACCATGGTTTGGCACTTTGCAACCCCACTGTGGTCCCTGATGTTCCCAGAGGTCTCCCATCACAGTATTAACCAGACCCTACCCTGCTTAGCTTCAAAGGTCTGACAGGATCTGGCTTTCAACTGCCATATTCAGTCGTCTGATAGTTTTAGAGGTAGGGTTTTATCAGCTGTCTTACTACATCCAGACGCAAAATGACAGCGCCATCTACAGTCCGACCTCTTCAGGACGGACTCTGAGTGTGTGACAGTTAGACAGCCCCCTCGTCCCGGTTTACTGTCCTGGGGGCATTGAAGATTCTCCTCCGCCGACAACATGGTGATGTCATTATATATTTCTTCTAACCATACGAGACGGGAGAATCTTCACAGCAATCAGGGAAGAAAGTAAGTAAAACTCTCTTTGTAAGTGACTCTGTGTCTGCCGTTAGAGGACTGAGGGGAGAGCAATGGCAGCGCATGTGTATGAAGATAGAAGAAAACTATGAATCCTCCTAAAAAGTGAGTGCATCAAGTGTGTAAATAAATAAAACAGACTCTGAGAACTCTTGCCAATTGTTTCCCCAGGTCTTGTGCAATACCTCCTTTATGGAAACACTGGTATGGCTCTATTGTATCAGTTTGTGTCTGTGTGTGTCTTGTTCTACTGTGAAGCTAGAGCCTGAATAAAGAAATGATGATGATATAACAAAGCCGAGAAGAAAAGTTTTAAGAAATGTCCCTCATTTGTTGGTAACTTAAATTGCATTTCCTTTCATATATCTGACCATGGACCACTGTTAGCTCCTACAGCCAGGACACTTTATATACAGTGACTTTGCATCGTATAATTCTCTACCTACAGGGTATAGCTTATAGCTGAATAACCCATGTGCTTTTCATATATAGATAGACTTTTTTTCTTTTTAAATCAATAGGTTTTCTTTTAATCTTCACTTTAGTGCAACAAACTCTGCTCTCTTTTTCCCGCTCTTCCGCCGCTCTAGCATCCGCAGCTCGCTGATTGGTCAAGACGTTGCCAAGCCCCTCTGCTCGCGTGCATGAGAACCACAGCGTGCGTTCCTCGCGTGACAACGCGCTCCATTCGGCTCTGTTGATGACAGAGGAGCGAGGGAGGAAACTGAACCGAACTGACCAGATAAACACGAAATGTACATTGACAGCATTGTTGTGGTTATTGTTAGCTTCATTAAGAGTCTATGTATGGTCTTTCCTACAGCGTTTGGAGTCGTGTGAATTCGTATGACAGTCATTTATACCAATATGAGTACAATAAACATAGCTATTGACTTTACAGCGTCCATATCAAAACCGAACTCAAACGTGATGATTACACAAGAGCTGGCGAGAGAGTTTAGGTATTCACCATGAATGTTGTAACCCTGCCAGTCAAAGGCAGCACAGACACACACATTTTAAGTAAATGCATGTTTTGCTGTAATACATGTGGCAAGTGCTAATGCAGATTAGGATTCACATTGTAATTTAAAATAAATAAATTTTGTTGCTTAGTTTGATCGCCCTTCAGTTTTCTACTCATGGTCATTGTAAATCAAAAATGTACAAATCTCATCTTAATTACATAAAATCGAAACATATTTAAATGTATTGAATAAATGTTTCTATTTACAACAAAATAACAGAAGTAGGAGTCACTAGCATTCATGTGGTGACAATAATATTATTCTATATGTTCAAGTTAGATTGTCTGTCATTCTCTTAAAATGTGTTGTACATAACTCTTGCATGGCTCTAAATACAGTTCATTTGCTGTGAAAAAAAATGACGGTTTTAGTTTTTGTGGAGAAAGAGTTTGTTGAATAACTATATTTTTTGTGTCTACAGAGTAGAAAGATGTCCATACTAGAATTATTACATTTTGTAGTGCATATGCAAAACAGTTTAAATGAATAGGAGGTATTCAGGACACAGATTGGTTGTGTATTACTGCTTATCTACTAAAGGCCATTTTATTTGAGTGGAAGTTTTTCTTTGCTGAAGCACTACATTTTCGGTGGGCATATACATCAGTCAGGACCTCACAGTTGGTTTAAACTGCGCTAAGGACATACAAACTGCCACACATAGAAACTTTAAAAAAAAAGCTTAAGTGTTACTGTTTATATCCTGCACTTAAGTTTTAACTTCCTTTATGATATACAGTTTTTGACTTCTACTTAGGAATGTTTACTTTAGCACAATGGTCATAGATAAATATAGATAATTTTACCAATGTAAGACAGCAAAACACTATACATGTAACATGAATAATAGCTGACTTTCTACAAGGTCAAGGAGATGAACTTCTACTTGCTTTGTCACAAATCAGACACAGAATCCAAACTCTCATAACAATATACAATTCTACCAATAATGATAATACAAATGTCAATATATAATCACCAAATATTTGACTAGTATCTTGTGATTCCATGAAAATGTAAGGTGCAATATCAATCAAATAATCATTACTATTATTATTATTACTAATATTCAAAGGTCATTCATCTCTAGGGACACAGAGTCCCCTGAGAGGATACAGCAGAGAACTTTCCCACACAGATTCTCTTGACAAAGCGGCATGCGGTCCAAGTCCCTTTTTTGGAGGAAGAGCTGACAAAGAGGTACATTGTGTGAGATTTCATAACACTTTGAAGCAACCTTTGTTAAAGTTAAACTCATCATTCTATCAATGAGCAGAAGCCTGTACTTTTCCACTACTTGTTTTGACTATCTCTGCTGGCACTGTGGCAGCTGCGGATTGGAAGTCTCTGTTTCTCCTGAGTATATCACAACTTGCTGCCGTAACATCCCTTGTTTGTGTGCTTTGTTCGTGCTGTCTCTACCATTGACAATAAAACATGTCTTCTGTCTGAATGAAAGACACAATCTCAGACGTTGTCATCTTCTTCAATTGATTCAATTGGATGTCCATAGGGAAAAGTGGGAGGGGGTTTGACTAGGCATCTGGTCCACAAGGCCGGAACATTAGGTGTTGAGGATCAGTGCTTCTCTGAAATCAGACATTGCATTAAATTGTGAGATACTTCTGCAGGCCGCTCATCAATTACTCTAATAACTGTAATCTGCAAAGTACTCCACCTTGGCTCAGCTGGATTAGAAAGAATGGTGATGCGGTCCATGAGTCCAGGCTGGTCCTGCGGTCCATGAGTCCAGGCTGGTCCTGCGGTCCATGAGTCCAGGCTGGTCCTGCGGTCCATGAGTCCAGGCTGGTCCTGCGGTCCATGAGTCCAGGCTGGTCCTGCGGTCCATGAGTCCAGGCTGGTGATGCGATCCATGAGTCCAGGCTGGAAACCAAACGTCGAGAATGACTTCATTGCTTCTCTGAAATTAGAGAAGTTATTATGGATTTTTGAGTTTTGATACTTCAGCTAGTTTTAATTTGTTAGTAATCTGTAAAATACATTACTGTAAAGCAGACATTTAGGCACATCCAGGATGGTGTGAGGATGATGCACAGGCCCAGGACTTCAAAATCATGTGTTCAGGATACCATCAGTGCTTCTCTGAAAATACATGTCCCACTCGGGACAACAGGGACAACGGGTGAATCGTGATGAACTGACTACAAATGAAAGCCAAACTAGTTACTGATAACAGGAAGACTTAGAGAGAATACTACAATGACATTACCTTCACAGAAAAGTGGGTCCTTGGGCAGCTGAGATAAAAACTGATTGTAATTATTAATTTCTAGCTCAAACAGTATTCAAACCTTAAAAAATAAGTGAAAATGAAGTACATAATGTCAACTAATGAACAATGCATTCTTTTGTTTAATATAAATTACATAGAAAGATAATGAACAACAAAGCAAACTGCTTTTTTACAATGAAACAAAACAACAGAGAAAATGAATTGCAAAGTTCTGAAAATGAAGACAACTAATGAACCTTGCCTTTTTTTTTGGGGGGGGGGGGGGATTTTTTTAAATGGCATTGAAATGGAATGAACAACAAAATAACAAAGGTTTAAAATGACATATTAAACATGAAAACTTCCAAACATGAACCCAAACAACAGAAAAGTAATTGAAAAGTGTTGCGTGCGTTGTGTTTTGAGTGTCTGTCAACTAATGTCACTTTCAAACTTGTGCTTCGTTGATGCAAGCTCCAAGTTTTTCAGCTATTTTATTTCCTAAATGTTTGAGCCACAACTTAACCCCAATCCGTTGGCATTTATTTTATCTATGCTAATCTGCGCTTTTAACATGTGCTCCGTTCATGCTCGCTCTATCTGTCTGTGAAAGCAACTGTACAGTCACAATGAAACATTGCAAAGAAATACACTGCTGGTTCACAAAGTGGAAATGAAAAATGAAATGATCACTGCTACATCAAACTTGTGCTTCGTTTATGCAAGCTCCAAGTTAATCCCATAAAAACAGTGGACATAACCTTTTGTAATGGGTGGACAATTCATACATTACTGGTGATGAAAATGAATCAACTTTGTTAATTTGTGTCTAACTATTTCAGTAGTAATTTTCTCTGTTTGCCTTTTAGCCAAATGATGTAGCCGAATGTTGCAGTACACAGAAGTTGCCATTTTCACCAGAAGATGCATGTGATTTTCTTCAACAGTGGTGTCAAACATGTGACTGTGCAGCCCAGGAAAAAGATTCTTGCCCATGGTGTAACTCAGAACTTCTTTTCCAATAGCTGCAGACAGCCCACAGCCTTGAAGAATTTTTCCAGAGGTTGATCTCAGTGTGCGTTGGAAACACCGCTCTGCTTCTTTACATACTGAAATGATTCCCTCAGATGGCTTCTGCCATCCACCTCTATTCTTCAGGAGAACAAAGGGATGGACGGAGTTGTCAGATGTCAACGCATCAGAGCATGGTGTGCAAAGATGTTTCTCCTTTATCTTCCTGACGACAAATCCTGCTATGTAGTTGATTACAGCATCTTTGTATTCAGAGATGGAATCAACATCAGGACAGAGTAAGTAGTCATGCTCAGACTGGGCTTCCAGAACGGGCTCCAGGTTGAATCTGCGCATGGTGTTAATTGACGCAGGAGTCACGCCTAGAATGCCTGTGTTGTCTAGAAGGAGACAATTTCCTGTGCCAGTATTCACCTGCTGTCTGACGAGAAGGCGTTTGTAGGCAGCAGTGAACTGTGTGGTTGTGGGATTGTTGTTGAATCCACCACGTGCTCTAACTGAGGAGAAGAAAAGCTCAAGGTGATCCTGACTGAGCTTATACGTCAGTAGATAGCGGCACTGGGCATCATCCTTTTCCACTAGGTCATGGAAGATGTTCTGTGCACTTCGGGCACTAGCAATTAAGCCAATAATGCATGTTTTTCGTCTTTCAGCATGCACTGATTTCCCATTTCCATCTCTGAGAGAAAGTAGAGTGGACTCTGCTTTCGCAAGGATTGCTGCAGTTTGTTCTCTGTTTGATGTTCTCATGAGTGCCTTGTATCCCTTTCCAAGGGGATTCCTACTGTTGAGAACATCAAATGCAGCATCGATGGTTCTCAGGAAGTCTACCGTCTCCTCACAACCTCTGAACTGAGGCAATTGCAGATGTTGGTTGCAATATTCAAGAGCATCAGCTACACTACTGCTGAAAACCTGTGTGGCCAGCTTCACCTTCATCTTTTGTTTTTCCCACTTTATATGCGCCATCTTCAACTTGTTTCCAAGTCTGAGACCCTCTTTCTCTTGGAGCTTATTCAGCTCAACAAGATACCTCCACTCAATCTTACCTGTTGATGTTTGCAGAACACCCCAATCAGCAAGTGTATTTCTGAGCAGCTTTACCATGTGACACACATCCAAAAGTACATGAACTGGAGACTGACTGGACGGATGTGGAAAGGAGGGCCGCATAAAAGCACATCCAAGTCTGCTCCTAGGGCTTTGAGCATAGAGAAATGGCATGATGGACCATCACATGTTAGCGAAACAATACGTACCCCAACATTGTGAAGCCGACAAAGGCATTCACTCACGATGTTTGCTCTTTCTTCACCAGTGAGTGAATCAATAAAGAAATAGGCCACTGGGAGCTTCCAGGAATCGTCTATGGCAACAACCATGATGACGAGAGCGTCTCTAGCTGGAGGAAGACTGTCGTCCACGATGCCACATCCCAGATCAACATATCCATGAAATCTCCCAGCGCTATATTCTATATGCTTTCTTATTGCCATTTCATCCATCATCAAAGCACAAAGGGTCTCCTTTCTTAACTGCTGCCTTTTCTGTACATGGGCCCGAAGAGCTACAAAAGACGCCTTTGTGAAGCCAGGATCAGATGAAACTTCACTGTACCATTTCCTGATGGTGTCTGGATGAGGTAAAGCCAGGTTGAAACACTCACGCACATAGGAATATGCCTTGGCTGAGTAAAAATGTAGAGTCAAAGCAAAACACTGCAGTTCCTCTGACACTTTTGACTTGTTACCTTTTTCCATTCTGGTAATAATTTCCTTTGTGACACCACTGAAAGAATTCTCCATCATTTCAGAGCACCCCGTAGAAATCAGGCGTTTGTCTTTGAGCTCTTCAATTACCGCTGATAGGGAATGAATTGTCTTCTTCAATCGTTTTGTCTTTTGTTTTTCCGTCCTAAGCCTTTTGCGACAGTGGTCCAATTGAGTCTCCGTTTTGCGCTTAGCGCTTTTGGGTGATTCTGATATTCTATAATTATGTTCCTTACTTATTGAGGACTTTACAAAATGTCTGATCTGGGGAGAGAACTGGAGTTTGTCAATATCGCTGTCTTGAGTGAGCTCGCTCTCCTGAATGTCTCCGGCCACATACTGATGATCCAGGGTTATTGCTGACTGTACTAGAGATGTGATCTGGGGAGAGAACTGGAGTTTGTCAATGTCGCTGTCTTGAGTTAGCTCGCTGTCCTGAATGTGTAATTCATCCACTCCGGTGTTTCCATCTTCCAACAGATGTACCTGGCTTGTAGAATGTAACGCAACTGCTGTTTTAGGGGGGGATGAGTGTTGTGGCTCATGAGTTGAGGACATGTCACTGCTGGTATCAAAGATTGAGCTTTGTGTGTGTTGGTCAAACTCAATAACTTTGTCTTCAGTCAGCTCAACGTTCTCAAATTTACTTGCATATGTGTGATCCTTACCTGTAATGAGTGCAGTAAAGGCAATGGTGGGTGATTTCTGAGCTGATACAAACTGACCTTTGAGGGAATAGTCAAATATAGTAGGAATAGCTAATGGAGTAAGGGACTGCTTACCACCTTTGACCAAAAAGCATTCCTCAGCAAAGTGAGCAGCACACAGCCTGGAGTTTGAACTTGGCACCCAGTCTTTACGCCTCACTTTTGCAACCCATTGTGCCAGTCTCTTCTTTTCATTCAGAGGAAATCTGGAAGACAGAGCAGAAAACATTTTTTTTTTTTCTTGATCTTATCTATGTTAATGATCACATTAACTAATTGCATATTGACTATGTGTGCATTTTATGTAACAGAAATAAGATGATTTTCAGTATTTTTTTAACTAAAAGAAGGAGAAATTGCAGCTCCAATCATACATTTAATGTGCTTTTTACCATCATTTTATCCTCTTCGCCGAAAAAGACAAGATAAGAGATCCTTTATTAGTCCCACATTGGGGAAAATTCAAAGTTGAAGCGCACATACAGGACAGTAATAAGAGCACACAATATGTACTAAATTAGTAGCTGCAATGTTTCTTAGCTAGCTGTAAATGCTCCAATATCTTTATTTCAGATCAATCTATAAATATAGTGCAAAGTTTACAGGGTAATAACGACATTGTAATGGATCCATGGGTAATGCATAAGAGTTATAATAAGAAGTAGGTAAACCATGTGGCAGCTAATTCCTTCAAACGTGCAATTTACAAGTTCTACAAATGTATTGTCTCAACTACTGTGTACCATAAATGTCCAACTTAACACAAGAAAGGAATAAAAGTAAAACGGTTGTTAATATAATAGATCCATGGGTTGTTCAGACGACATCTAGCTAGTCCAATTAATATTAGCAGGAGGCTAAGCTAGCAGGCTAGTACTCTGCTTATTGACCATGACATACAATATATATATTATTGTCTTTTTTAACCAGGTTGAAGTTACAAGTTATAAAATACATGACGGAACGCAGTGGATGTATGAAGGGGTATTAGCATAGCTAACAGATCCCCGCGCTGCTTATTATATTGCTCGTTTAATTAAACCAAAAATGAATTTACATTTTAATTTACCTGAAAAGTTGGAATTGATGCTTCGCACTACGAGATCCATTGGTGCAGTTGAAAGCAGAACAGGAAGGCATTTTTGCGTTGTTCACTCGGGTCACCGTCAAACAAGGCAAAAGGGCCCGTGGGAAAGTTTGTGAAGTATTTATAGTGCCGCTAAGACCATTACAGGTGTTTTGATACATTTTGTACAAACTCCTCCCCCACTATTACAACTCTGATCACTCAATTTAGAACGCACTTTACCCATGGATGACTTTACCACGGTCAACGCAAGGCAACGGGCTAGGTAAGTGTGAATAATTATTCGTATTTCATTCATGCAAAAGCGTTTTGTAATCATGCATTTATTTTGTCAGTATCAAGTTACAATGAATGGGCAGCAGCAGCGAACCAGCCAGATGCCATCTGTGCACATTGTTGAAGGTAAAATGCTGATATTGTCCGATTGAATGTTATCAACGAACACAATTTAATGTGTATTTGAATAGGACCCACCATATGGATTATTGGGGACAGTTACGTACGGCGTGGTCGCGACCGGGCAGCCGAGACCCTTGGTCACAATTTAGGGATGTCGGCCCACGTCCAGTGGTTTGGCCGCGGAGGACTCCGCTGGAGCAGCCTGGTGCCGTGGCTTTTTCGCTTGCTACGGGGACGGTCCGCCCCGGCTGTCCTGCTCATCTGCTGCGGCAGCAACGACCTCGGGAAGGTGAAGAGCGTGGACTTGGTCGCAGCGATGAAGCGGGACCTTCTGGACCTCCACAGGCGGTATCCATCGATGGACATTTTTTTTTCGCAACTGACCGATCGCCGCCTGTGGACGGACGCCCAGCCGGGGCGGATCAATCGTGCAAAACGCTTTATTAATAATGTTTTAAAAACGTTTGTGAGTGGCCTTGGCGGATGCATGGTCTGTCATCCTACCATAAAGTTTGACTGCCCTGGTCTATTTATTAGGGACGGAGTTCATTTCTCAAATATGGGGAATGACATTTTCTTAAACAATTTAGCCACAGCATTGAAAAATCACTGTCACTGTTGTCATATTATCACCGTTTTATGTCCTAGTGCACTTACCGTAGTGAGTATCGCGGTGCATGCTGGGTATTGTATGCTGAGCAGGAGTGTAAGGCGCGGGAGTAAATAAAGCAGACATTATTGAAACTCTCACTCGGGCTGTTCATTAAGTACCAAGAACATTACATGGTGTCAGAGACTCAACGGATCGTACGCTTCTAAAAAGAGCAAGAGATGGCTTCGTCGGTAGTGCCAACACCGCAGATGGATTGGGACTCTGCGAACCTTCCCGACGCATGGCGGAGATTCGTGCAACATGTGCAGCTAATGTTTTCAGGACCGCTAAAAGGCCAAGACGAGACGACGCTGTGCAGCTATCTTCTTTTGTGGGTCGGGGAACGAGGCAGAGATATATATAATACCTGGACACTAACTGCAGACGAAGCAAAAGTGTTAGCTACGTATTATACGCGTTTTGAACAATATCTCATGCCAAAGACCAACGCCATATTTGCAAGATACAAGTTTAATGAGAAGCTGCAAGGCGAAGGGGAGACATTTGAGCATTTTGTCACGGAGCTAAAACTACTAGTCAAGCAATGCAGCTATGCTAATAGTGAAGAGATGGTACGTGACAGGATCGTGTTTGCCACAAACTCGCCCCAAGTGAGAGAGAAACTGTTAAGTCAAGGCTCAGATCTTACACTTGATAAGGCCATTGACATTGCACGTTCATACGAAATAGCTCAAGATCAGCTAAAGACCATGGTGACACCACGTCCAAGTTCCCAAGCACCAATGGCTGCACACGCCATTTTTTCTAAGCGGAGGCACACGCAGCAAAAAGGCGCGAAGGTTGGGAGCAGCTACAACCCCAAGAAAACATGTGGGAGATGTGCGCTACAACACAGCGATAAAGAAGTGTGTCCAGCTAAAGGGCGTAGGTGCAAAAAGTGTCAAAAGATGAACCACTATGCAAAGGTATGCCAAGCAGGGCAATACAGCAAACAATCCAGTGCACACTGTTGATCCAGATAGTTCTAGTGGCACGGACGAGCTCTTCATTGATTCAATAACCAAAACGAACGAAGGAGAAACAAACGAACAGGCGTATGCAGATGTCCAAGTAGGAGCACAACCACACAGCATACGTTTCAAGCTGGACACTGGAGCTACCGCTAACGTCATCCCTGTTCGGCTCTTTAACAGACTTTTCAAACATGTCAAACTAAGCCCAGCTACGCGCTCTCTGTCTGGGTATGGAGGGGAAAAACTAAACATTAAAGGTACATGCAAGCTTCAATGCAGTAGGAAAGGCAGACACCACGCATTTGTATTTGACATTGTACAAACGGCAGCGCCACCAATATTAGGACTGAGAGCATGCCTTGACCTTAATCTAGTCAAGCTGGTCATGTCAGTGGAGTCCACAAGTATCACGGAGGAGTTCGCGGATGTCTTTAAAGGGATCGGAAAATTCCCTGGTGAATCCAGCCTACATGTAGATCCAGCGGCAGTACCAGTTGTATACCCACCACGAAGAATACCTGTTATGCTAAAAGACCGTTTGAAAGTGGAGCTGGATGACATGGAAAAGAACGGAATCATTGCCAAGGTAAATGAGCCCACTGAATGGGTGAATGGACTTGTGGTTGCAGAGAAACCACGCACAGGGAAGCTCAGAGTTTGTCTTGACCCTCGTGATCTAAATAAAGCAATCAAAAGACCACACATCCGCTTCCCACATTGGATGATGTCACTCCAAAGCTGGCGGGAGCACAATATTTCAGCGTGCTGGACGCGCGTTCAGGATATTGGAACATTCAACTAACACAAGAGTCTTCGCTGCTCACTACATTTAACACCACATTCGGCAGATACCGCTTCCTCCTTTTGCCTTTTGGAATAATATCTGCACAAGACATTTTCCAGAAGAAAATAGATGAAACTTACGGTGGGTTGAATGGTGTTGTGGCTATTGTTGATGATATCTTGGTGTTCGGCAGGACCAGACAGGAGCACGACGCCAATCTCAGAGCTGTACTGGAGCGTACACGTGACCGAGGTGTGCGACTCAATCCGGAGAAAAGTGTCATTGGTGCAACTGAGGTGAGCTACTTCGGGCACAAACTCACTCGCGAAGGTATCCACCCCGATCCAAAGAAAGTGCAGGCCATAAAAGATATGCCGCCGCCAGAAAACAAAAGTGAGCTCGAAACTGTCTTAGGTATGGCAAACTATTTATCCAGATTTGCACCAGGCCTGTCTGAAGTCAATGCACCACTGCGCCAGCTGCTCAAACAGGACACAGAGTTTGTTTGGGATCATAACCAAAGCAGGGCATTTCAGCAGATGAAGGATCTCATCACCAGAGAACCAGGTCCTGTACTGTGTTATTACGACACCACCAAGGAAGTGCGTCTACAGGTGGATGCATCAAAGCACGGTTTGGGAGCAGTGTTATTACAGGAAGGTCACCCAGTAGCATATGCTTCCAAGTCGCTCACACCAACCGAGGTAAATTACGCGCAAATTGAAAAAGAACTTTTTGCAGTGTTGTTTGGGTGTAAACGATTCCACACATATATCTATGGCAGAAAAGTTGTAGTGGAGTCTGACCACAAACCCCTCGAGTCCATACTAAAGAAGCCCATATCATGTGCGCCTGCTCGTCTTCAACGCATGCTCTTACAGCTACAAAGGTATGATTTTGAGATTTTGCACTGCCCTGGTAAAGATATCCCAGTGGCAGACACACTGTCCCGTAAGCCACTACTTGACTATGACATCACACTCAGTGAAGGCATGGACGAACAGGTCCACTCAGTGATTAAAAACTTACCAGTCAGTGACAAAAAACTCTCAGACATACGAGCTGCAACGCAAAATGACATGCAACTGACTGTTCTCAAACAAGTAGTACAGTTAGGTTGGCCTGAAGACCGACACAAATGTCCAGCAAAGCTACTTGATTTTTGGAATTACAGAGATGAGATATCATACTATGATGGGATTTTGTTTAAGAGTGACAAAATCATTGTTCCTTCTGCTCTGAGAAACAGCATGTTGGACAAGATTCATACTGGACATATGGGAATTGAGAGGAGCAAACAGAGAGCCAGGGACGCCCTCTTCTGGCCAGACATGGGTAAGGACATCACAGCAAAAGTAGAAAAATGTCCCATTTGTCAAGAGAGGCGTGCATCAAACCCCAAAGAGCCTCTGATCTCTCACCAAATTCCTGAAAGACCGTGGCAAACTGTAGCTTCAGATCTTTTCTCATGGAAAGGGGAAGACTACATGGTAGTAGTTGATTACTACAGCCGATACTTTGAACTGGAAAGACTAAAATCTACCACGTCAAGCGCAGTCATTACGAAATTAAAGGCAGTGTTTGCTCGGCATGGAATTGCAGAAAAACTCATTTCTGACAATGGCCCTCAGTACAGCTCACATGAGTTCAAAACATTTGCTGTTTCATGGGACTTTGAGCATGTTACATCGAGCCCCCATTATCCACAGAGTAACGGGCTTGCTGAGAGAACTGTGAAAACTGCGAAATCCATATTAGACAAAGCACATGCCCAAAAGGTGGACCCATATCTGTCTCTTTTGGAGCACCGCAACACGCCTGTCGATGGGTTCAAATCCCCTGCGCAACTACTTATGAGTCGTCGTTTACGCTCTGTAATCCCAGTGACAAAACAACACCTGCAACCTCAAGTTACTGGTGGGAGAGCAGTAAAAGCAACGCGGGTGAAGAAGCAAGCTTTGCAAAAGCTGTATTATGACCACGGCGCTAGACAAATGTAGCTCGCGAAAATTCAATTTGGTAGACGTCAGCCAAAAGCTACCCCCTCCAGGCCGGTTCGCTTCCCCAGCCTATCGCTCAGCAAACGCCCCCTTCCAATCATCCGTGCCGGACAGGCAGCCGCTTAAAAGCGGAGCAACTCCCACTCTCGGCCTTCTCGAAGCCTCGCATGCTCCTGAAGCCTTGCAGAGAATCGTCTGGAGGAATCGTTTTCGTCTACTCACGCTACTCGGCGCGTCCCTGGCGTCCTCCGTCTGGCTGCTTGTGGTCTGCTCCTCCTCCGCGTCCCTGCACTGGTCTGCTCCTCCTCCGCGTCCCTGCACTGGTCTGCTCCTCCTCCGCGTCCCTGCACTGGTCTGCTCCTCTTCCACGTCCCTGCACTGCTGTGGTTCGCATATCCCCACTGCTCTCCTCCTCTGCGGGCTCTTTCTGCGGGCTGCTCCGCGGGGCCCTCCGCGGGTTTCTGTGCGGCTCGTTCCTTGTGGCCTGCTGCCGCACGCAGAAGGTCTGGCGGTGCCGTGCGTGTCCCTGCCTCGATTGGCGGTGCCAACCGGGGCGTGGAACGTTTTAGCAGGATACTATCACTCAACACTTGGCTTCAAAACTCATCACAGCAGCACAACTTTGGTTTTATTGACAATTTTAATCTGTTCTGGAACCGCCACCCCTTCTTCACACCCGATGGACTCCATATCAATAAACTCGGCACCCGGTACCTGATTTCAAACATTACCCACTCAGTCCAATCCCGTCCCCCGCACCTCTGACAACCCATCACTCCATCCCACATCATTCCTGCCGTCCCTCAACACCCTCATCCCTGTTGCCCTTTGCTCCTCCACATCATCTTCTCCCCTCACTACAAACAAAAATGACTCTCCATCCACCATCAGGTTTGCTCTTTTAAATGTACGCTCTCTTTTAAATAGAACTTTTATCATTAATGATTTGATTTTAC